GACTCTGTCAAAGAAAGAAGAAGAAGGAAAGAAGGGAGGGAGGGAAAGAAAGGAGGGAGGGTGGGAGGGAGGAAGGGAGGAAGGAAGGAATGGAAGGAAGGGAGGGAGGGAGGGAGGAAGGGAGGAAGGAAAGGAGGAAGGAAGGAAGGAATTGCAGCAGTCTTGCACAGTTCAGACATGGGTATTATTCGACATCAAAAATCAAATAAGGATGCTTAATACATTGAAAAGTACTGCATGGTGAGACTCCATCTCTACGAAGAAGAAAAATAGCCAGGCATGGTGACATGCATCTGTAGTCCCAGCTACTCAGGATGCTGAGCCGGGAGGATTGCTGGAGCCTGGGAAGGTGAAGCTGCAATGAGCCGTGATCACGCCACTGCATTGCAGCCTGGGTGACAGAGTAAGACCCTGCCAAAAAAAAAAAGAAGAAGAAGAAAGAAAAGAAAAGACTAGAATAAGGAGACCAGGCCATGGTAGCTCATGCCTGTAATCCCAATACTTTGGGAGGCCAATACAGGAGGATCGCTTAAGCCCAGATGTTTGAGATCAGCCTGGGCAACATAACAAGACCCTGTCTCTACCAAAATATATATATATACACATATATGTATAAAAAATTAGCCAAGCATGGCGGCATGCACCTGTGGTCACTTGAAACCAGGAGGCCGAGGCTGCAGGGAGCAGTGATTGCACCACTGCACTCCAGCCCTGGTCAAAGAGTGAGACCTCGTCTCTAAAAACCAAAAAGCTGCTGGACCCAGAATCTGACCACCTGGGCTCAGGTCCAGGCTCTTGTTGCCGTGGTGATCCTGAGGCAGCCAGAGTGGAGGGCAGCTGACCCAGCTGCACCCCTTCCACGTTCAGAACCGGGGACCCTTGGCCGGGCGTGGTGGCTCACACCTGCAATTCCATCACTTTGGGAGGCCGAGGTGGGCGGATCACAAGGTCAGGAGTTCGAGACCAACCTGGCCAGTACGCTGAAACCCCATCTCTACTAAAAATACAAAAATGAGCCAGGCATGTAGCAGGTGCCTGTAGTCCCAGCTACTTGGGAGGCTGAGGCAGGAGAATGGCATGAACCCAGGAGGCAGAGGTTGCAGTGGGTCAAGATCACACCATTGTACTCCAGCCTGGATGACAGACCAAGACTCCATCTCAAAAAAAAAAAAAAAAAAGAACAGGGGTCCCTGCAGCCTTTACAACTCCAGACCCCAGAAATAATGTGCACAGTGTTTTGAAGTTGTCACCCGGCTCCCAAAGAGCCCTGCCGTCCAGACGCCGAGCCCAGGGCAGGCTCTGGCAAGCCCACGGGGGCTCCCCATGGTGACATGGCCTGGCCGGTGGCCCAGCTGCTCTGACCCCACCCGGCAGCGCGACAGAGGCCAAAGGAGAACGCCAACCTGCGCGTGGCCTCTCGAATTGCATCGATTCAGGTGCAAAGTCAACAAAAAGTCCTGCTCGGACTTGCAAGGAAACAGCTCTGCTACCTGGGGCCTTGCTGACCAACTGCCGGCAGGTGCCCCCAGAACCCAGCGGCAGATGGAAACCAGGAGCCCGCCATGGGGACGTGATGACTCCAACACACCAGCAGCAGGTACCCATAGGGAATACGTACGCTACATCTGTGGGAAGTTAGGTTACCAGATATGATGGTAAGAGAAGAAATATCCCCAAAAGATGACACTGTTTTAGAATTTTCTGGACTTAGCTGTCCTTCCCACTCCAGCCTCTAATACCCTCGCCCTGGGGCTGCCGGGCCGTGAGAAAATGGAGGTCCTTGGGAGAGGGCTTCCAAAGTCCTCCAGGCACCATGGGGACTGGCTGCACACCCTCTCTGGGCCTGGGTCCCCCAAGGGGCCACTACGGCCAGAAAGGACAGAGCCCAGGATATGGGTTTGGAGGTGGTGACCACGTCCCGAGGGGCCCTGGGCCACACACCTTCACCCTGCCAACCCTCACCTCTGGATCCCCCTTTTCTTCCAGAACCGGAGAGATTAACCACAGCGATACCTCCCAGCGAAGAGCAGACGGAGATCACACTGGGGGAGGTCAGCCAGCTCAGGCCCTAAAACAGCTGCCACGATCCGAGACACCGCCCACCTTCCCCCAGCCCCAGCCGCACCCCAACCCACTGGCCCTCGCCGCCAGGTGGCCCTTGCCTTTGACGAGAGATGGGCCGGACGTTGTCCACCGGGCACTTGCAGCCTCCAGGCCTCTTGTAATCTCAGCTGGCATGGGGCCACCGCCTCCACAAGCCGGGGCTGTGCAGGACCCACAGATTGTTTCCTGGATATGGGGCACTGGTGAGACGTGGGGTGGACGCTGGCCGTGGCCTCCCTGGCCGGGGCACGGCCCTGAGCTCATGAGCAAGGGAGGATGTGGAGGAGTTCAGGCTGCCTCCAACTCCCCTGGTTGGGATCCCACAACAGTAAGTCCTCCAAGGGCTGGGCCAGGCCCAGGACATCTGTGGCCAAGTGGCCACCCAGGGACACGGGTCCCGCTACCTTCCATCCTTGCAGCAGCGCACCATTGTGAGGGTTGGGAAGGGATCCTGAAAGCCATGAAGCCTGGCAGACCCCATGGCATCTCTTCCTGTGCAGATAACAGAGGGGGAAATTGGCCCCTTCAGCTCCATCAAGGTGCCCATCATCTTCACCCCGGTCGTCCCAGGAAACGTCCAAGCCAGGTTCAAGGTCATGTTTAAGAACCCCCAGTGCCCAATGGTGAGTATTCCTGCTGCCATGCCACACGCACGCCCGGGCCCCCGCCTCCACAGCCTTGTGCAGCAGCTGCCCTTGGCCACAAGGTCGCCATTTGCCCATGCAGGGATGGCCAGTTAGTGGCACAGATGGTGACACCACAGTTTACAACACACACACATGCACACTGGCATACACAGGCAAACATGCTTCTATGAGACACACACGCATGCCCCTGCAAAAACATGCATGTATACACACGCACACATGCAGAGCCCCGCACACACATGCACACACGCAGAGCCCCCCGCAGATACATGTACACACGCACACACACACACAGCCATTGTTCTTTTTTCTTTTTTTTTTTTTTTTGAGTCAGGATCTCATTCTGTCACCCAGGCTGGAATGCAGTGGCAGGATCACAGCTCACTTCAGCCTCTAATCCCTGGGCTCAAGTGATCCTCTTGCCTCAGCCTCTCGAGTAGCTGGGATTACAGCTGCACACCACCACACCTGGCTAACTTCTGTATTTTTCATACAGATGGGGTTTCGCCATGTTGGCCAGGCTGGTCTCGATCTCCTGACCTCAAGTGATCCACCCACCTCGGCCTCCCAAAGTGCTGGGATTATAGGAGTGAACCACCGCGCCCAGCCCCAGGCGACAACTTTCTGTGCTTAAAAATTCCTCTGCACCCTCTCAGCACCCCCATGGGCTGGGGCGGTTGCCTGTCCCAGGCTGTGGCTCCTCGCATCCTCCAAAGTGTTCAGAGTCCTCGGCTCACCCCACAGCACCAGGACAGTACCACTGCCTAGGCGGCTTTGTGCTGGGCTGCTGCACGTCCCCAGCCCGGGGCTTGCAGGCCCTCCCAAAACCTGACTCATTCCCTCCAACCTCCTGAGGCCCCAGGAGTCAGTGCTTGGGGAGAAGCACTATCTCGGCTCACTGCAACCTCTGCCTCTGGGGTTCAAGCGATTCTCCCGCCTCAGCCTCCCACATAGTTGGGACCACAGGCACACATCACCATGCCTGGCTAATTTTTGTATTTTTTGTAGAGATGGGGGTCTCACCATGCTGCCCAGGCTGGTCTCAAACTTGTGGGCTCAAGCAATCCTCCAAGCCTGGCCTCCAAAGTGCTGGAATTACAAGTGTGAGCCACCGTGCTTGGCCATAGAAAGGTTTTTTTAAACACCTAAATGTTAATGAGTATGAAGCTGAGTGGTAGGTACTTGGCGATCCAGTATTCTGTTCTAGTAATAGACGAACATTTAAAAAGAATATTTGGCTGGACGCAGTGGCTGATGCCTTTAATCCCTGCACTTTGGGAGACTGAGGTGGGTGGATCCCTGAGGTCAGGAGTTCAAGACCAGCCTGGCCAACGTGGTGAAACCCCGTCTTTACTAAAAATACAAACATTAGCCTGGCATGGTGGCGGGTGCCTGTAATCCCAGCTACTCGGGAGGCTGAGGCAGGAGAATTGCTTGAACACGGGAGGTGGAGGTTGCAGTGAACAGAGATCGCACCACTGCACTCCAGCCTGGGTGACAGGGTGAGACTCCGTCTCAAAGAAAAGAACATTTTAAATGACATGATATGAAAAGTGCCACAGCCATCCCAAAGAGTTAGAAAACTCAAGCCCATGAAACGTTCCTCCTGGGAGCTGTGTTAGTGCTCACCAACATCGCCTGCTTTGCCCAAAGAACTCCTGTTGCTGAGCTCACGTGTCCATATCCAGCTGCATTTCAGGGTCATGGGCGTGGCCATCGACGTGCCGGTCTGGGTGCCAAAGCCCAGCGTGGACCTGAAGATCTGTATGTACGACCGGCTCTACCAGGACTCCGTGCTCGTGCACACACGGTGAGCCCCCGCCCGTCCACGCACACAGGGTGATTCTTGCACACACGGTGAGCCCCCCCCGTCCACGCATATGGGGTGACTCTTGCACACACGGCGAGCCCCGTCCTGTCCACGCACACGCGGTGACTCTTGCACACATGGTGAGCCCCGTCCTGTCCACGCACACGGGGTGACTCTTGCACACATGGTGAGCCCTGGCCCGTCCATGCTCACGGGGCCACACGGGGTGACTCTTGCACACACGGCGAGCCCCCCCGTCCACGCACACGGGGTGACTCTTGCACACACGGTGAGCCCCCGCCCGTCCACGCACACAGGGTGACTCTTGCACACATGGTGAGCCCCGGCCCATCCATGCACATGGGGGCACACGGGGTGACTCTTGCACACACGGCGAGCCCCCCCGTCCATGCACACAGGGTGACTTGCACACACGGTGAGCGCCTCGCCTGTGCACAGGCAGTGAGCCCCCCGGTGGCCAGCGGGGACACGGCACCTGGGGCTGCCACAGCTGCTGTCCAGGCCCTGAACGTCACCCTGTGTGGCAAGGGGTGTGCTTAGCACCGTGGTTGGGGAGAGGGACCTTGGTGGGGGTGATCCAGGGTCATCTGGGAGGCGCCAGTGTCATCACAGGAGGCGTCACGGGGAGGCAGGAGGGTCAGAGTCAGGCCAATCTGAAGACACCGCACTGCACATTCCCAGCCCGTGCCGGGCCCACAGGAGTCGGACCACAGGAGGGCAGGCGCTGCGAGAGCCGTTCCTACCCAGGTCACCGGGCGGGAGGTGCCTGTGCCTGGGGCCAGTGCCTGGGGCCTCGGCATCCGCACACCCTGCTCACGGTGGAGTCTGCCGTGACCCGGGATCCAGCTGCGTGAGTTAGCGTGGCCGCAGTGAAGTCTGCGGTGACCCGGGAGCTACGTGACTTAGCGTGGCTGTGGTGAAGTCTGCGGTGACCCAGGAGCTGCGTGAGTTAGCGTGGCCACGGTGGAGTCTGCTCACCTCCGGCATCCATCCTACCACAGCTTCTCTATGGCCTTGGAAACGTGACAGAAAGGGCCCGGGCGTGTCTGTCAGGCACTGTGGGCTGGGCGGGGCTCAGCTCCGTGGATGGTCTCCGGCTGTGGTTGTGCGTACCTCAGTGTAGCCGTGTACTTGTTTGTATAGACTCTGGCCCCACAAGGGAACCAGAAGATAGAGCAGCATCTGCCGGACAGGGAGGGCGCGGTCTCTGAGCACCCAGACACCCACCTCGCACGGGGCCCCAGCAGTAGGGGTGCAGAGGCCAGTGTGCCCATACGCACTGCGGGTGGTCTCTGGGTAGTGGTCAGAGGTCAGAGGCAGGTCTGTGCTGGACGGAGACGGGGCTGACACAGCACGGGTGACTCGCATGGAAGCACAGGAGGAAGGAGAGATTTCTCACTGCTATACCCTCGGGGTCCCCCCTCGTGGATTGCCTGGGGCAGCTGTGGTGGGGCGGCCACACCACCGTGTTCAGCAGAGGCCCAAAGACGGGGAGGGGAGGGGGGCTTGCTTCACTGTGGGAACAGGCGGCTCCCGGTGGTCCTGAGGAGGCTGTTGGCTTGAGGGAGCTGGAGATGGAGACCAGACAGACGCAGCCTCCCAGGTGACTGGTGGGTACCTTGGCTCTCTCAGGCGCATCTTGGGTTGGAGGCTGCAGTCATCACCGAGGCCTGTGGCTGTCCCAGGCCCCCCACGTGCCCTGTGCTTGAGCTGCAGGATGTGGGGATGCCCTGGGCAGGATGCGGGCAGAGCCCTGGAGGGAGGGGTTCCACCCCTCATGTCCCCTCCAGGGCCCGCACCCGGGGGCTGCCTGGCAGGTGCTCTTCCTGGAAAGCGTCCGGTTCCCGAGAGCCCATTAGGACCATGCTTCCGTTTCGATGTGGTTATTTTTAAGAATCCCTCATCAGATTTCATTTCAGATAAAACAGCCCTTACAAAGCAGGGCTTTGAAGACTCTGATTGTCGAGGTGCACGTGCATGCTTGGAGTGGGTGGGCTCTGAGCACCTGTCGGGGGCTTGCACGTTAGAAATGTTTTAATGACTCCAGGCATTGAGCACGCACACAGTCACGGCTGTGACGCCTGACCCAGTGCCCTGCGACGCGCCCACAGGTCGAAAGCTGCCCTGCGCCTGAAGTTCGAGGTGTGCAAGGAGCTGAGGGCCCACCTGGAGCTCCTGCCTGAGACAGGCTACATCCAGGCACAGTCGTCCTACTCCGTGCAGCTCAAGTTCCTGCCTCGGTAGGTGCCAGGACGCCAGGGCCGGGGCAGGGGGACGTGGGAGGATGTGGGCTCCGAGGCGCCCTCTCCACTGGCCACTCCTCTGATCTCACTGCTGCTGGGATCGTCACCCTGCAGGGATGTGTTCTGGGGCCGAGGCCATGACACTGGGGGGCAGTCACAGCTGGGTCGGTGGTCCGTTTTGGTTGCTTTTGTTTAAGATGTGAGCCAAGTTGAAGTTCATTTTTTTGTACAGAAGTTTCCAGTTATTCCAGCCTCGTTGAAAAGATCGGGAGGCCGTGCGTCCCCCAAGCACGGCCTGCGGCTCTCACTGCCACTGCGGGTCTGCTGCCTGCCGGGATAAGGTGGCCCAGGACACGGCTCTGGCTTGTTGCGGACGCCCTGCTGTCTGTGCACTCCCACACTGTCTTCCCTGTCTTCATCCCCGTCCCGTAACTCCCTGGGGTTCTGTTTTGAGATCAGTGCACGCCTGACATTTGCTCCTTTACCTGTGTCTTGAGGGTGTCCCTGTCACCCAGTCATCCCTGGTCCTCTCCAATCCAAGGCTCTTTCCAGGCCTCCTGGGTGCATCCCCTGGTCTGTGCTTTTGCCAGGTGGACTTTGGTTACTGCACTTCAGCGTTTGTTGTGCTTTGGAGGCTGGACGTCCTATGTCTGATCCCAGCTCCCCAGAGCTGCCCTCAGCATCCGGGCCAGGACCGAGGTCCAGACAAAGGATGCTCAGTGAAGCTTGGTGAGGGAGGTGGGCGCAGCAGGCACGACCTGGCGGGACTTGGAGGGGAACAGGGTGGAGCTGAGCTTTAAATCGACTGTTTCCTGGACTTGCCCCTGCCGGCCACCTGTCGCAGGGAAGCTGATGTTTTTCTTTTTTTTTTTTTTTTTTTTGAGACGGAGTCTCGCTCTGTCGCCCAGGCTGGAGTGCAGTGGCACGATCTCGGCTCACTGCAAGCTCCGCCTCCCGGGTTTATGCCATTCTCCTGCCTCAGCCTCCCGAGTAGCTGGAACTACAGGCACCCGCCACCTCGCCCGGCTAATTTTTTTGTATTTTTTTTAGTAGAGACGGGGTTTCACCGTGTTAGCCAGGATGGTCTCGATCTCCTGACCTCGTGATCCGCCCGTCTCGGCCTCCCAAAGTGCTGGGATTACAGGCGTGAGCCACCGCGCCCGGCTATGTTTTTCTTTCTTATTTGTACTTTTCCTGATATTTCTATAACAACACTAACTTATGTAATCAGAGATCAAACTCTGATTAAAGTGAAAATACATTTTCAAAGGGCTTTTTAAGATTCCTTTATGATGCAAACTCCATATTAATTTGAACCTTGGCTATTGAATTTTTTTCTGTTTATTTAAACACAGCTTTTGAGCCACAGTCAGTTGTGTTGCTCCCGGGAGTGACTGGCGGCTCAGACATGCCAGAGCCCTCGCGGGCCCACAGGGGCCACGCGCTCGCGGGTTCTGTGCGCGAGCGGGAGGTCGGCACGCGGCGTATCCCAGCACCAATGTTTCAGAGGTGCCGTACCTCTCAGAGATGTAGAAGCACCACTGACGGCGGGTCTTATTGTCATTTCACAAAATGGAAAGAGGAAAGCACGTTCGCCTCGTCTGCCTCTTTCAGACACTCCCTCCCAGAGGATGCGGGGAGGTATTTTGACAAGGAGACGCGAGTCCTGGAAGCCCCGATGACCATATGGGTGGCTGACCAGGTCTGTGGCCCCGATGACCATGTGGGTGGCTGACCAGGTCTGTGTTGGGGCACTTCCCAGGGATGCTGGGCGCTCCTGGGGAACAGTGGCTTTCCTGGGAGGCCAGGCGAGGGCCCCCAAAAGGGCCCATCCTCACTTGCCTTCCAGTGAGGCATCTAGCGGCCAGAGGGGCTTGCCTGCTGGGAGGGTGCTCCTGGGCCAGAGAGAGGCCTCCGAGGCCTGCCCAGGCCAGTAGGGCTGTGTCCCAGGCACCCTCACCTGCATGTGCACACATGAGGGATGCCCACACAGCTGCACACGTCTACACGCCCATGTGTGCCACACACAGGGACACATGCACCCCACTCCACCTGCAGCTGGCTCTCAGCTGCCACCCTCCCCCCCATGTCAGGGAGTGGTCACCAGGAAGTGGGTGTTATTAAAAGATGGCCTCATCGTGTCCTGGAAACCGTGGACCGTGGCCACAAGGCAGCAGCAGTGGTCGCGCCTCAGAGTTTGGGGAGCACTTGGTAAGTCTCCAAGCAGCTGCGAGAGCGACTGCGCCCGTTGTGCCTCAGAACAAGCCAGTGGAATTCACCGTGCATGCCATTGTCACCACCTCGGACCTGGAGCTCAGTCCCTCGGAGGTGGATTTTGGCTACTGCACCATCTACGAGGCCATCAGGACAGAAATCAGCCTCCACAACCACTCGCTCCTGCCCCAGGAGTTTGGGTTCGTCAAGCTTCCCAAGGTACCGCCTGCGGCCAGGCCTGGGGCAAGAGGGGCGAGGCTGGGAAGCCCAGGGGACGGGATGCAGTGGCCACTGCTCCAGGGTGCCCATGCGTGGGCGTGTGGCCCAACTTCCGTCTCTCAGCTGCACCCCTATGCCTGGACCTCCCCACCCTGCACACCAGCCCTGGGCGTGCAGCCCAACTTCTGCCTGTCAGCTGCACCCCTACCCTTGGTCCCATACACGTCCTGCACTCCAGATCCCACTCTCTGCTCTTCCTTCTGGAACTTTCCCCTGCTGGGGCCACACAAGGTAGCTAGGACGAGGCCCAAGCCTGGGCACCCCTCACCTTTCCCTGGGCAGCCCTGCTACCAACACCACCGTCCTCACTCTCCCCCCGTCTCTCACACACACACACGCGCACACACATGCACATGCTCACAATCGCTCACGCACTCATACACATGTGCTCACCCTCACATACTTGCTGACACTCATTCACACTGCCACACTCACACACGATCACATCTCTCACACTCACACACACACTTGCTCACACACGATCACACTAATCTCTTACACTCACACTTGCTCACACACAATCACACTAATCTCTTACACTCACACTTGCTCACACACAATCACACTAATCTCTTACACTCACACTTGCTCACACACAATCACACTAATCTCTTACACTCACACTTCACACAATCACACTAATCTCTTACACTCACACTCACACACAATCACACTAATCTCTTACACTCACACACACTTGCTCACACACAATCACACTAATGTTTCACTCACACACTCACACTTGCTCTCACACACACTAATCTCTTACACTCACATCTGCTCTCAGTCACATTAATCTCTTACACTCGCTCACACATGATCACACTAATCTCACTCTCACACACACAATCACACTAATCTGTCACACTCAGACTCACACTCGCTCACACACAATCACACTAATCTCTCACACTCACTCTCACACTCACACTCACAGCCCTGCTGCACGTGTGTCCACGTGGTCTCCCCATGACATTCCCTCAGAGCACTCTCTTCCATTTCCAGTTTGTGGATGTGCAGCCCAACGATGGGTTTGGGACGATCCTGCCCCTGGAAACGCTGCAGTTTGATGTGATCTTCCAGCCCACCAAGGCCGAGGAACACAGCTTCAAGCTGACCTGCAAGTCTGAGATCAACCGGTGAGCCTGCCAGGGAGAGGGACGCAGTGGGCCTGGAGCACCTGCTCGGGAGGGGCCACCTTCCCAGCAGCACCACATCCCTGCCTCTGGCCCCACCTGCCTGGCTGACCACAGGGCTGCGCTGGGCAGCACTGCCGGCCGGCAGGAACCTCAAACCTGGGTGCAGACAGGCCTGGGACCTGGGCAGCCTTGAGTTCTGGGCCCGCTCAGCCGTGTGTGCGTGTGTGTGTGTCGTGGGTGTGCATGTATGTGAGCGTGTGTGTGAGGACAGGCGAGTGTGCCTGTGTGAGTGTGTGAACATGTGTGCACATACAGGCGTATCACTGTAGTAGGTGTGAGTGCATATGGGTGTGTGCAAGAGTGCATGTTTGTCAGTGTGAGACTGTGAGCATGTGGGAGTGTATGTGTGTGAGCATATGTGATTGCATGAATGTGTGAGTGCAGGTATGTGAGCGTATGGGGGGTGAGTGTGTGTGTGAGTACATGTACGTGGGTGTGTGAACTTGCATGAGTGTGAGCACATGTGAGTGAGCGTGTGTGTGTGTGAGTGAGCATGTATGTGTGTGAGCGTATGTATGTGGGTGTGTAAGGTTAGTGCGTGTATGTGTGAGCATGCATGTGAGTGAGTGTGTTTCTATGTGGGTGGACCTGTGTCCAGAGGTGGACCTGGTGTAAAGACCTGCATACTCTGACGTCTTGTGCGATCAGCCAGTCTCTGCACCTCCCTGAGCCTGAGAGTGGGATAAGGAGGTGGTAGAGGGAGAGGTGAAACTGGACCCGAAGCAGTGGCCGTGGTCCTGCGTGGGTTCTCGTTGCTGTTGGGACCATCAGTCTCCAGGGATGTGTTCTGGGGCAGAGGCCAAGACATTGGGGGGCAGTCACAGCTGGGTCTGTGGTCCATTTGATCGCTTTGTTTCAGATGTGAGCCGAGTTGAGGTTCATTTTTTTGCACAGAGGCTTCCAATTATTCCAGCCTTGTTGTCGAAAAGATTCCATTCTGCCCAGAATTCCTCTGTGCCTTCGTCAAACAATCACCCACATTTGGGTCCTACTGACCTGGGCCGTTGGGGCCTCCCTCCATCTCTGTGGGTCCTTGAAATGTATTTATCGAAGAAGCCAGGCAGGTTTGTTCTGTGGAGTTGCCACAGGTAGGATGCTGTCCCGTGGTGTCAGTTCACGTGTTCCTCTGTTTCGTGTTGCGAGTTCACTGGCAGCAGGACCTCCGGGCTAGTCAGGCAGCCAGACCACTTCAAAAGCCACATTGGCTCCTTCTCCGGGGTGTGTTAACGCCCAGTCGTCTCTCCCTCAGCCGCCTTTGGTGCTCAGTGCTTTGCACCTTCCATCCGTAATCACGGCCCTGTGACTCTGACCTATCGATGTCGCAGTTTCCAGCCCTGTGTCACTTTCTGAACTCTTTGAGGCGCACGTGGAGTCATTAGGCTGCAGCGTTTGATTCCTTCACAACGCCGCTTCGCAGCGTGCTTCACCGTTTACATAAATTCCGCTCCTCATTCTCTCTCATCTCACAACAATGTCATCTGTGATTCGACCTTTTTCTACTGCTCATTTTCAAGTGCAATTATTTCTTTCTGAACGTTTACATTTTATTTATTGATTGATTTTTTTTTTTTTTTTTTTGAGACAGGGTCTTGCTCTGTCACCCAGGCTTGAGTGCAGTGGTGCAATCACGGCTCACTGCAGCCTCCACCTCCCCGGTTCAAGCAATCCTCCCACCTCAGCCTCCTGAGTGTGGCTAGGACTACAGGAACACACCACCATGCCTGGCTAACTTTTATATTTTTTGTATATTTGAGACGGGGTCTCACTGTGTTGCCCAAGCTGGTCTTGAATTTATAGCCTCAAGTGATCCTCCCACTTCAGCCTCCAAATGTGCTGGGATGACAGGGGTGAGCCACTGCGCCCGGCTCTCCTCCTCACTCTCAGAAAGGAGCCCAGTTCAGGCCAGGTGCAGTGGTTCATGCCTGTAATCCCAGCACTTTTGGCACCTGTAGTCCCAGTTACTTGGGAGGCTGAGGCAGGAGAATGGCGTGAACCCGGGAGGTGGGGCTTGCAGTGAGCCGAGATGGCGCCACAGCACTCCAGCCTGGGCGACAGAGCGAGACTCCATCTCAAAAAAAAATAAAAAATAAAAAAATTAAAAAAAATAAAAGGAGCCCAGTTCAGAGAGCTTTTTTTTTTTTTCTTTTTCTTTTTGAGACAGAGTCTCGCTCTGTCACCAGGCTGGAGTGCAGTGTCATGATCTCGGCTCACTGCAAACTTTGCCTCCTGGGTTCAGGTGATTCTCCTGCCTCAGCCTCCCGAGCAGCTGGGGCTATAGGTGTGCACCACCACGCCCAGCTAATTTTTGTATTTTTAGTAGAGACAGGGTTTCACTGTGCTAGCCAGGATGGTCTCAGTCTCTTGACCACGTGATCCACCCGCCTCAGCCTCCCAAAGTGCTGGGATTACAGGCGTGAGCCACCACGCCCGGCCTGAGAGAGGCTTTTCTAACTCCATGGCTCCAGAGCACCCCCTGCAGTTCGTGTGTGTGTGTGACGTGCTGAAAAAAACAGAAGGCCCCAACGTTCTTAGCCCTGCGTCCTCTGCTCTCTTCCTCCCTTGCATTTTCAGATAATCCACAAACTCAGAAAGTCAACTCAGAAAGTCAGCATCGTGTGCCCTCCACCCAAAATACAGACCTTAGACTTTTATCCTACTTGCCTCCGATTTCTCTTCGTTGTTACAGAAACGAACATTCTTCCTCAAGTCGGAGGTAGCTTCGTTCTCCCTCCCTCCCCAGAGCCCATCGGAAATGCCAGGGGCCGCATTTTCATTCCATACCTGTGTACCTATAACCTAACACACACACGCACACACACACACACCTGTGTGCAAGCGTAAATGCTTCTACCCTTGCACAGATGTAGGGTGACCACCATGCTGGTGTGCCTGGCACTGAGGGGTTTCTCAGGCCACAGGACTTTGAGTGCTGAAGCTAGGAGAACCCCAAACAGACCGGGACCCCAGGTCGGCGCCTCAGGCCCCCGCTGCTGGTCTGGATTTTGTTTGTTTCCCCTCAGCCTGGGTATTTTTGTGACTGAGCCTCATGGACACCACCAGGGGTTCCCTTTGGGACCCGTTAGGTTTGAGGCCTGTGGGCTGTCAGAGCAGCACCTCCTAGGAAGCTTCTCGTTCTAATGCAGATAACAGAAAAGAGGGTTTGAAAATCAACCATCTAAGCTTGCTTTTCAAGCATTAGGAAAAGAACACAGGAAATTAAACCCAAAGAGAGTAGAAGAAAAGACCTAATAAAGCTAAGAGTGGAAGTCAATGCAATGGAAATGAAATGGTCGACAGAGGGCCGGGCGCGGTGGCTCAAGCCTGTAATCCCAGCACTTTGGGAGGCCGAGGCGGGTGGATCACGAGGTCAGGAGATCGAGACCATCCTGGCTAACATGGTGAAACCCCGTCTCTACTAAAAATACAAAAAACTAGCCGGGCGTGGTGGCGGGCGCCTGTAGTCCCAGCTACTCGGAGGCTGAGGCGGGAGAATGGCGTGAACCCGGGAGGTGGAGCTTGCAGTGAGCCGAGATCACGCCACTGCACTCCAGCCTGGGTGACAGAGCGAGACTCAAAAAAAAAAAAAAAAAAAGAAATGGTCGACCGAGAAAAATAACAAACTAAAAGTCTTTCTTGTACAATTTAATAAAATTCATTACCCCTAGCAAGACCAATCAGGATAAAAAGAGAAAACACAAACCATCAGTATCAGGAGTGAAAGGGAACATCACTGCAGACCTAACAGATATCAAAACGATACGAAGAGAACATGATGAACAGCTTTGCACCAGGGAACATGACAATTTCGAGGAAATGGACAAATTTCTCAAAATACACAACTGACACAAAAAAATATAGAAATATCTGAATAGTCGGGCCAGGCGTGGTGGCTCACACCTGTAATCCCAGCACTTTGGGAGGCCAAGGTAGGTGGATCACTTGAGATCAAGAGTTCAAGACCAGTCTGGCCAACATGGCAAAACCCCATCTCTACTAAAAATACAAAAATTAGCCAGGCACGGCGGCAGGTGCCTGTAATCCCAGTTACTTGGGAGGCTGAGGCAGGAGAATCACTTAAACCTGAGAAGCGGAGGTTGCAGTGAGCTGAGATCACGCCACTGCACTTCAGCCTGGGCGACAGAGCGAGATTCCTTCTCAAAAAAAAAGAGAGAAAAATTGACTACTAGGCTGGGCGCGGTGGCTCAAGCCTGTAATCCCAGCACTTTGGGAGGCCGAGACGGGCGGATCACGAGGTCAGGAGATCGAGACCATCTTGGCTA